GTCTTCTATTTTTCTTTCGTTGTAATATTTCTTTATTAATAGAATACTGATAAATATATATTAAGTTGTTGATCCTATTAAATTTTGTGTTATCCATTTGTCAACATTAGATTTGTGCACTAATGACGAAAAGTCTTTTTTACGACACGCAAATTCTCTTAAATTGTCGAATGTCGGATTTGTTTTAGAAAAATCTTTTAGAATAACTGGTATAATTGTAATGCGATTCTGGATTTCTGTTTTATCTACTGTCAATCCAGTGATTAATTTCCTTTTCGGCCGTTCAATCAATTTTTCTATAGTATTAACTGCACTGAAGTCTTCTATTGAGTTGGTTATGACATGATTAATCGATTCTTTCTTCGGATTGCTCCAGTCGTCATTATCGGATTCATCGTCATTTGCTCTTTGATTTTTAAAATCTTCCCATGCTGAAAGTAGTCGCAAGTCAATCTGATTTATTAGAACTAGAATGTTAATTTGAGTGTCTTTCAAAACTCTGTCGAGTAACTGGATGGGATACTGTTGATTGACATCAGCCAATGTAGTTACCAGAATAAACAGGCTAGCTGAATACAATGACATGTCCAGTAAATTTTTCGCTTGTCCAGTGGCATCGTCTTGTCCAGGATTATCCACAATATCAATTGATAGCCCCGACTCATCGTTGTCTTTACTATCGAGTCTGATAAAAGCTGGACATTGTGATGACATTCGAGTATTGAATGCGTTGATGTTTCGCAATTCTTTCAAATTTCGCCCGGTAAGATATTTGAACAACGTCGATTTTCCCGTTTGTGATCTACCAGAAATCACAACTTTTGGTGATTTTTGTACTAATATGTCTCGCATAATACAAAGCAGAGGACAAAGTCGAATTATTCCCATCCAAATCCGGCGATGCTCGCCTATAGCACTAATCAAACCTAAGACAAAAGCGTTACAGTTATTTGGCAACTACATTACCAGGTAGCAAGCAATTGAAGATAAGTAGATCTATCAAGTGAAAGATAGTCTTTCAAAATAACGATCTTTCATACAGTTAGATTAGAGATTTTCGTGATTAGTTCGCATTCCTTAACTTAGCTTAAATTGAAAGTAAGTTTTACAACTAACACTTAATATTAAGCTGTCATTTGCTGTTTGACAATTAATTTTTAAAACAAAGAGTCATTGAAAAACTTAACGTTAGTTCACTGAAAATTAAGCTTAACTAATCGCATTAGCCAAATAGGATTTAATTTTAAATTGTTCTTTACTTCGCCACGGACCCAACATATCGTTTTTCGCAACGCATAAAAAAACGCCTCTAATTGACATTTAATCGATCCGAACCATTCTATATATCCAACTTTTGTGTTTGATGCTATCTCTGTTTTAACGATAAAACATACTACTATTCGGATGGTATGAGAAAACATGCTAGGCAAACTTTATATCGTTCTGAACAAGGTGACGCTCATCTTTTATAATCCAGAAAAAAGACCGCGCTGAAATTTGATTTGTTAACAGCTTTTCTCTATCAATTGATTTGATTTGAACAAGCTTTTTCAGTTACACTCAATATTAAAAATCAAATGCTAAATAGACAAAATTCAATATTTTCAAGCGTTCAATAGTATCACTTAGTTAATTATCTAAACTAAACCGAATTAAAAAAAATAGGTACTACTAAAACTTTGAGGTCGAAGAATCGATATCTATGAGCGGATTATTACAATTCACAGTTTTGATATTCTTTTACAAAAATTTATTCATTTCCCAGTATAGCCTTATTCTAAGGAAAAAGGAAAGTGATCAGTTTTGACGAACCGATGCCAGATTCGAATATTTCGACTTTGAAGGATTTCATTCAAATTTTATTTAGAAAATTGTAGCTTTTAGATTGTTTTTAGTTTGATAAACTCGTAAAGTTACCGTTACCCAATATCTGCTAGAGGTAACGGGTAGATTTTCCGCTACCAGTTACTTTGTTACTTATCAATAACTTACCACGGTCAAACAAGCTTTTACATTTGAATGTTTGATTCCAAAGTGCATCTAGTTCTTGTTCAGATCTAATTTCTATTAGTTTTTGTGACCATGCGCATCCTTTTATTAGAGTTAGGATTTGCCACTCGTCTTCATTTTCGTGTACACGTTCCCCACTTGACTGCAACAATTCAATGGCCAATTCTTTTAATGTTTTTCTTAGTAGTTCTAAACCAGACAATCATTCGGTATTGCAAGATATGAATGTATTGGTAGCTAAGTGTACGAAACGCATAAGGTCGGGGCCCACCATCGGAATGGCACCGAACGCCCCCACATCCGTAGCAGCCCATCTTAGACTAGTCTGTATAATACCTTTATCGAAAGCACCAACTAAGTGATTTAGTTTAATATGTATGAAAAAATATGGTGCCATGACAGATTTGAGAGTTTCTTTAATGATGTCAATATCTTGATCTTGATGAGTATGCAAATCACACAAATATCGGCAAAGTTGAGTGAACTCTAAATTCAAAGGTATCAGTTGTGGACCATCACGGTGTTTGATAGTATTTGATAATTTTTTATGTAAATCCTTAGCCTTCTGTCGTGTTTCGTCGCAAATATTTTTCTCGTCATCGGCAGTCGCCTTCAACAAGTTCAGTTGCTGTTCAAAAATACTCGGTTGCGGTGTTTTCTAATTGTGATAATGGAAGATCCTCTAAATATTTTCTGGCATTGTCTGAATAATTAGAGCCATGCATTTCAGCTATATATCTTGCCAAAAGTCTGTCTGATGCGTCGTTGCCAAGTAATTCAAATGCAGCAAAAACCTGTGAAAAGCATTGTGACAGTAATGAACTATCGTATTCTTGAATTGAATTGACATCCAAAACAAATTCTTGATAAGCACGCAGCATTATTGAGATTGGGTCTAGTTGAAAAGCTTCACGTGCAACTCGACTTCCTGGATTTGACAAAAGACCAACACAAACATCACACGCACCAAAGAAAGTGGTAACATGAATAACGAACGTTGAATGTCCTTTAATAAAGTTAGTTGATTGCTCTGAATTGAAGTATGAAACGGCACGTACGCTTCCTTGGTCTAATATCATCATAGGAGTTTGATTTCGAGATCGATCAGATTCCGCCAACTCAGAAGGTAATCTCACAGAACGAATGTGAGAAGATCGACCTATCCCCGCTTTCGTAAAAAACTTTTCCTATTATAGTCAAATAAAACCCCAACTATTATACACCATTCGATAGAGAATTTCACGATCTACAAAATGGTATATAAAACATAAAGAAATAAGAAGACTAACTCACCTAATGCAAAGATAATTAAACGGGAATTGGTTCTGTTTGTGTTCACACTCTAATTGATCAATAATTAGAGCTCTGTCTTTCGATCATAGAGATGGCAGTTCGAGATTTTTTGGGTCGGAGAACTCCAATCTGAGCTCCGTTTGCCTCGAACTTCTATTGGTTGAGTAGTAACCAATAGAAATCAAGTTATAGAAAAAACGACTTTATTAGGGTAAATCAAGGTGAAGAGTTCAAATCTGAGCTCTATTCAGCTCTAAATCCTATTGGTTGAGCAGTAGCCAATAGAAATCAAGTGTTTATAGTAAAGCTTTGCCAGGATAATTTTTATATCCCTACATTCTAGAACGACTCATCTGTCTCATTCACTTTTTGAAGTACACATAACTCTCGGATTTAAATCCGAGGTTTCCGCATTTATTTAAAACTATAACATGATTATATCGATGGTTCAGATGCTCGATTCTAGTAGTCAGTTTTCTCTGAATGTCAAGAAAATTCCATCGGCTTTTAAAGGTTAACTTGTAATGCTTCATTAAAATATGAAAAAATGTATGTGATTGATTAGATAAATAAAATCAAATAATAATATTTTTGTTCTTTCAAAGAAGTTAATGGTAGTTTCTTTTATAAAAATGCTGAAGAATGTGATCGTCTTGTTGCATCTGAACGTAAATTTATTGATGATCGTATTCAAAAAATAGTTGAATTTAAATGAAAAAGATTGCTCGGATGATAATAAAAATAAATCATTTGTTATCATTAATCAAAAAGGTATTGATCCATTATCATTTAATGTATTAACGAAAGATGGAATCTTGGCATTAAGACGTGCTAAACATCGAAATATGGAACGTTTGACTTTAACATATGATGATGAAGCTATGAAGTAAGGAAAATTAGAATTTTTACGTAGTAATTTTGAATGATTTTTTAATTAGTTTGCTTGAAAATTTAACAAAAGAATATCTTGGCTTTGCTGAAGATGTTTATGAACATGTTCTGGAAACTACTATTTATTGGGTTTATTTTTATACTTGAAATGTTTGTTAGAGTGAAGAAAAATTTACTTCTGTTGAAGGTTATAAAAATCCCAAATCAGTAACAATTTTACTCAAAGGTTCAACAAAATATTTATTAAATCAATTAAAAGATATTCTTTGTGATAGATTTTGTTCAATAACAAATGCAACTAAAGATGATTAGTTTTAATTCTAGATTTATCAGTTGTTTATGTGAAACACGATCTAAAGAGAGTGGGACGTGATGTTCTACATCTTAATCTTACAACGATTGCACTAATAGCTTTTTGTTTAGGTTGTATTATTCCTAGTGATGATGCTTTTGAAATAGTTACTCATCAAGTACTTACTCAATATAAGAAACAAGTAAAAAATCGTGCACGTTTAGGTGTTCAAACATTTGCTGAATCATTATTAATTATTCTAAAGGCTATTACTCAAAATACTGGACATAATCAACAAGAAACAATTGTTAAATTTCAATAAGACTACGCTACATCAAATTATCAGTTGGTATCGATATTACCACAGGTAAATAGTTTTCTAAATAATAAGGATAAGTATTAGTCTTATTAATTGTTCAAAACAAAGAAATCAAATAATGTTTTACTAAACATATAACAAGTGAAAAATAACTTGACAATATGTTATTGAAAAAAACAAAGCAAACTATTCTAGTTATTCTGTTCTATTATCTGATGTTTTACTCTTTGCTAACGATGGTACGGATGTTCCATTTATCTTTTTTGCTCTTTCTAATAAATAATCAAATGTCCAATAATGTAAGTGAAGTTGAGAAAGAATTGAAAGTGCTTGAACATGTTGCATTGTTTCTCCATATGATGGAATATCAATCTGATGAATAGCACTAAATTCAAATCTTCCGATTTGTTTGATTAATGATATTAATGGTCCACGTTTTATATCAACATGACAATCACCTATTCGATAAGCAGAAAAACGTGTTTGAGTATCTAATGGTGACATCAAATGAAGCATATGATGAATTCGTGCAAGTTTAAATCAATCATATGCAAACATTTGTTCAGATACACTTTGTGTTATATCTAAATATTTAAAACGAAGATCATGATCACATAATTTATAGGCTTGAATTGATACATAACGAAAATCATCACGACTTGGTTGCCAATCTCCTTAAATGTATCAAATAAAATTAAGATTTTCTTTTGAAAATTAAATCTAAATGAAATATTACCAAGATTAAGTTTGATATCATAAGCAAATGATCCATATTGAAATTGTGGTGGTGGTGGTGGTGGTGGAAATGAACAAAGTTCAACATTATAATTTGATTTAAAAGCTGTTTCAAGTATATAATACAATAATAAATGAACATGTTCTCCAATAAGCACGTTTTTGTTCTTGATAATTTTCTTCCATAGAATGAAGAAATTTAATTTACAATCATGTTCTAATGGACGATTCATATCTCATAAATGTTCATCAGTAATTAAAGCTAAACAAAATTGATCAACTAAAACTGATGATAAACGTCGAGCACAATGATACGATGTTGATAAATTTTTATTCATTAATAATTTTCTTGATTCAATTGGATCTTGAACACCGATTTCAATTTTTTTCTACACGACGAATATGTTCTCTTTGACTTTAACATTCTTTAGCAAATATTCGAAGAAGATAAGCACGAATTTCATTATTTGTTAAATGACTACGAAAAATTGCAGATGATGTAGATTGAAAACGATGAGTTTGACTTAAATAGGAGCAAAGTTCCATCATTCAGAGTACTAAAAAGAATCAATCACAATTTTAAGAAATAAAATAATATAGAAGATACATGAATATTATGTGAAAGAAAGAGAAAAAGATATGAATCATGTATTTCTCTCATAATCACCAATAAAAAAAACAGAATTGATAATGCAGACGAAATGGCGTTGATTATAGCTCCCAAGTAGTGGCGCACTGTGAGAAATCAATCCTTAAATTACGTTTAATAGAGGATAAACATTGCTTAAAATGGAAACTAATATCTTTCTTTTCATTTTATTCTTTGTGATTATTTTCAAAGTTTCGTATTAGGTCAGATACAATTGATGAGAAGCACGGTGCTGGTGACCAGAGGTGCAGAATCTGCCGTAAAGACAAAAAATTTTCCCAAGCGCTAAAATTATTTCGAAAAATTTCCCCAACCAAAAAAAAAAATAAAAAGTAAATAAACCAACAAGAGAGATAGTTGATAGCACAAAGGCAAGAAACTTGTGGATAGAGCAATGACACTTGGTATTTTTTTCACATAGAAAAAAGTCACTTTTTGTAACAACCTTGCAATTAACAGATTTCCAAAAATTTTCCCTCTTAACAATTTTTCAAAAGATTACCCACTCAACAATGTCTCAAAATTTATTCACTTAACTATTTTTTAAAAATTTCCCCAGATCCAAAAAATTTCCCCAAGCGCGCGCTGGCGCACTCGGATAGATTCTGCACCTCTGCTGGTGACATTATGGATGTGACTATTCTACCAGAAGATGAAAACAATCCAAATGCTGAAGAAACTTCTTCTATGACAGCTAATGTTGGTAGCGGTAATGAAATTAATAATCGTTCATATTCATCACCATCAGCATATAATGATGAACTAGGTGGTCGAATTAATCGAACAACATCTAGTGACAATTCAAATTTTCAAATTGATTCATCAATGTCTGCTTATGATCCGAATACACTAGTCGGTCGTCAATTACATGATCTAACATATACTATTAAACAATTAATTACCAGTGTTAGCAGTTTGAACCAGAACATTAATCAATTACATGGTGATATGGTGAAAATAGCAAGTGGTATGGGTGATTTACGTAATGATGTACGATGTTTAAAGGACGATTTTAACAATCGAAATGTTACTAATGGTGGTGCTGGTGGTGATTCTTAAGATTTAAAATAGGTAATTGTTGGTGGCCTATGAAAAACTATTCAATCTTTTCTTTGTATGATTGTTATTTTTTTTCGATGTTCCATCTACGAAAATAAAGATGATTTTTTTTTAAATAAAAGATAAATAAATAGATAAGAAGAAATGTTGATTTACGTTTTAAACGTCCTAATCATAATCAGATCGATCAGGATACGTATCGCATTATTTATATAAAAAAAAACAAAAAAAAACAAACGATTAACTTATTGTAAGAATCAATTGAATCATGTACAAGATCCATATTAACCGAGCCATTTTTGCTCATACTTTTTCATTGATAATTACGTCTCTGTGACAGGTTTCAACACAGGTAAATAATCAATAAGACTAATTCACCAATTTTCTACATGGGAAAAAACAAAGCAAAATCTTTCATTTATCTCAAAGCAAATAGTTGAAGGCAAGAGTGGAATTTTTAACTGAAATAAATTTTTTAAGGTTAATATTTATGTTTGAAAACTAGTATCACACACATTTTCATCTGTCAATTCACCATAAATCTTATTTAAATTACTTGTATCAAGAAGTTTTTGGATCCATTGAGTATTAACAATCGATGATATTTTAGTAACAAGTTCGAATTCCAATGATTTTTGAAAGAAACAAATAATAAAGGGCAGCAGTGAAGAATTACATTTATTAATATTACATGGTGTATGAAACGTATTTTGTTCAAAATTTTTTCCTATTTTAACCAAGTTCTAAGTAAGAACGACGAATATGAAATGGCTCAACAACGTAATTCGATTAAGAAAATAAACTAAAGTATTAATTGAAAAAATTTATTTAGATCTATTTTACGAATATTTACCATTTTATAGTCTTGCAAAAAAAAAACGTTTGTACCATTATTAGGTATGGAATATCATTCAACAATTTCTATTATTCATTTCAAAATAGACTGTACTCCATTGTTTTTTGAATAACTCAAGAACGCTAGCAGCTAGACACCTGCGATTTTCACCAATGGAAAGAGGAGACAAGAGCATATCTTTTTCTCCAATCTATCTATCTATCTATATATAATGTTCAGTGTCTGTGTGTTTCTCTGTGTCGAGTCAAAGGTCAAAGATTAAAGGTCAAATAAGGCTATAAGGGGAAGTCCCCAAGGGCTACTATACTGGGGATGCGGGTGTGGGTGTGGGTGTAGATGTGGGTGTGGATGTAGGTGTGGGTGTGGATGTAAGGGTGAGTGTAGAGAAAGAGACACCCACACCCACACCCTTCTTTTAAAATTCCGATAGTAGTATAAAGTGACTCTGGAGACACTGTGTATGAATAGTTCCTTTTTCTCTGGGGCCTCTGAAGCTGAGAGAAAACGGAGCTGGTGAAAAAAAAATTGGATACCAAATGCACTTTTCCGAAAGGTTTTTGAATTCTAATTAAGATATTGTTCTAGAACATTGTAAGAGGTTTTTGAAAATTGCGAGATTTTTTTAAGGTTGTCAAACGAAAATTTGAAAATTGATTTAGGTTTTCCATTATACTTTTTTGGAGTTCAACAAGTTTGGATACTCTTTAACTTCTCCAGGAAATATTTCGGAAGCCAAGAAGATATTTCCGAAAATCCTTGAAGAGCCCGAAAACTTTTTCGTAAATCTTTTACGCGTTTCCGAAGAAGTTTGGATTTTCCTTAGAGAGTATGCTTTTGAACAAAGTGATGAGAACGAATAATGTGCAGTCTCTTAGCAAATTTATTTTTGAAAATAATTACTGCAGCGAAGTTTACATTTTACTTAGATAAACTTGTCGCAATTGACGTAGTTTTGTGACGAATCTTTCGATACTTTTTACTGTTTGTCCATTCTCGAATGTTACTCGTTTACTTCCATTTGCCCAGTCGACTTGCACCCATTCTGCTCCACCATCTGCACAATCAGGACATCCAATTCTGTCATCTAATCTTTGAAAGGTTTCCAAGTTTACGAAACTGACCAGATTGATCCATTCGTTCAAACTTAAGGGAAATTTGACGTGAACTGGTGGATAATCTGCTGGGTTGCCGTTTGCCTCTCTTGAAGCAGTTACTTGAGGTGAATTGGGTGTTATAGTTATCGATTGACGACAATATCCAATACATTCTCCAAATGAAGTTCCACTTGAAATCGATAGAATATCGCTGTGCTCAATCCGTTCTCCGTTCACCACTGTTACAAGAGCTACGAGAAGGATGAAAAACCAACAAACAGATTGCATGGTATATCAAGATATTTTGCACTTGACAAATAGTTACTACTAAAGAAACAAATCTTTTATGTATATATATATATTTCGCCGCTGATAATATCGAAAGAAAATGAAGAAAGAAAAAAACGACAGCCTTCATGCGAAAAATATCACGTGTGTATATTTAATCATTCCTCAAGGGCAAAATATGAGATTAGACAGCGTTATTTTTTGCTGTACTTATTGATTCTTGTAATGCTCCTTCTTTGTTCCAGCTCATGCAATTCCAATAAACACTCCATTGATTGATGGTTATGCGCATTGATTCAATGAAGTAAAATGAAATTCGATTAGTACTAACGAGATGTAATTTTTTCTTCATTCTATATTTGTCTCTATGGTAATTCAACAGACTTCTTAGGAGAAATATTCAGTATAATACTGAATGAACAGTCAACATTTATACGCTCATTTATCTACAAAGGAGATTCATTCCGTTTTGCATAACTGAATAATCTTCTTTGAATTTACTGTGTAGACTCATGCGCATCAATAAATGATTATAAAGTGTTAAAAAATACTAAAGAGAAACGTAAATCATTTTAGAATCATTATCTTTCGAAATTATAAGTATACGTAGGAAGAGGTATAGCAGTAGTTTTTTTCTTTCTTAATGATCCACTATAAGGAACAGTTGCATTAATTGAATAAAACGCATTTGTTTCATAAGTAAAGCTTAATTTTTATTGTAAAAAAAAATATAAAGATTCATATAAATATATCTGCACGAATCAACACATATCTAACTGGAGACAGCTTTAAGTTTGTAGAATTGTCCTGATACGCTAAATATATGAAATATTTCTGTAGACACCATGTTGAGGGCGTGGGTGTAGGTGTGGAGTGTGGGTATGGATGGGTGTGAGGTGTGAGGTGTGGATGTGGATGTGGCTGTGGACGTCGATGAAATGGATATATACACTCACATCCACATCCGCATCCACACCCACACCCCTAGTATATTGCCAAAGGAGTTAAAATAATTTATTTACAAAGATGTCAAATAAATGAATACATTAAAATGATAATAATTTTTATAATTGATATGTGTACTCTGAAATTTTATCATTTCGAAAATGTTTGCATTTAGAATTACTATTCTACTAATTTATTAAATTTAATTAACATTGTTATAATGAAAAAAAACTTATTGATATTGTTGAACACATCTTCAATACATAGCTTCTTTTCTCCAAATGATAATATATACGAGTGTGTGGATATCGCTGAAGGTCTAGGTACATCGTCGGTTGATTCTGGGTGTTTAATGAAAGGAAAGCAGCATTCAAACTCAAACTCATCATCATACCCATGCCTAGCAACCACTTGCTATTGTTGTGTCACCTCACTCCATACTTTACTGCAATATGCTTTCGGCAATATAGATCAAATCATCGTAGCTTCCTTTATTCATTTTTCTTTCTCGCTTACCCCAATACTCAGACTAACCAATTGTTCTCCATCAGATTTCGTTCTCATTCACTTGCTGTAACATCTATTGATTCGTGTTATCAATTTTAAATGATCAGTGGGGAAATTCAAGGTAATGTTCGATTATGTTTTCAATCTCAAGCAGCTTCGTCTCATCGTCGAATGGATACCATGACCATTCAATTTGATAGACTTAGCTCACGTTCTTAAGAAAATTATTTAATGTCTACGTCATTCCAACTGCTATTCGTTATGTGACAGCTAAATTGATAGTAAGGAAGTACTTCTTTTGTGTAAGCGCCTGTCGACAAAAAGTAAATTGAAAACCATATGTCCTCAATTGTTGTAATAGAAAAATTCAAAGAATCGATTAATAAAATCATTCGACATTCATGCCAGCATAAATTTTTTCAATTTTTGAGATCTTTGTGGTTGTTGCAAATTTCACTTGGAAGAAAGAATAGTACGACTGAAAAATAACTTGTTGTTTTTATGGAATCATCATGTGCATTATAAATGGACATCGAGTTGAAAACAAATTAAACTCTCAACATCTAAATTAATTTTTCTTGCATTTTGAACAGTCGAGATTCCATGAAATCAGAGATCTTTTGCTTCCTTAAAGAAGAATAGAAACCACTTGATTCCAATATGACGAAAAGGAAATTAGAAGAAGGAAATCGAAAGACGATAGAAGACTAGCACAGGTGTTTAGAAGAAGAGTCATAAGAAATATTCGAAAGCTTTCAAATAGATTTGTATTCTGATAGTCTTTGTCGTGCTTTCTCTTGGTTAAAAGAAAACTAAGCACAAATGTAATATAGCAACAGCGGTTTCTTTAGATTTTCTCAATCATTATTTTCTTTCTGTCAAGGAATTTGATGGAATAATCGATTTGTCATTTTACTTTTCTTTGGAAATCGTTGTCCTTGATTAATATAGTTTTGATAATTTGTTCTAAGGATTTGTGAAAGATTTTTGAGCTTCATGAAAAAATTCACTTGATGTAAATGATCAAATTCGAATCAATCAAATGACGTTAGAAAAAAATTGAATTGTGAAGGTAAATAGAAGACTGATGAAATATTTGAAGTAATTTTTTTCTTGTCAGGAATTCTCTCTACATGCCATTGATTGTCATTTTAAGATAATTCTCGTTCATCATGATGGCTCCAGAAGAGTCTCATTAATGATAAAATGTAGGTTAAAAACTTATATCAGATCGTGACGTATTTATGTCATTGAATATGTTCGACAAGTACTCATGATCTATAGTTGCGTGTTTTTATTTTCTGTTTGTTGAACACAAATAACTATAAAAGCAATAATGAAAAATTTTGATAACAATAAATATAATCAGCTTAATTGTGCTTTTTGGAAAATCATCATCAATAGTCTCCATGACAAATATTTTCAGTGGTGAATTTCAATCAACAAATATTTTGTTTATCAAAAAAAAATCCTTTTGAAGTAAATCTTTCTTGATTTGCTTAGTTTTTGTTCATTGTTTTTCATGAAAAAGAAAAATGTCAATGATCAACATAATTCTTGGAAACAATACATTCTTTCTCTTCTCACACATTATCTCTTTCATTTCAATCAATACGATTATGATATATTAAACATATTTTGGAATGAATTACGTACATGATTGCAGCCGAACAAATAGTTTCATAGAGAAAAATTCTGATGAAATCGAAAAGCTTATTCACAATATTTCATGCTCGCAGATAATCATCAAAATGAATATCTAATTTTCTCAATCTTTATAGTGTCAGAAACAAATAGAAAATGAGACAGCAGGCCACTTATATCAAATGACTGGTTCTGGATTAGACGAGTTTTAAATACACAGAAAGCGAGGCGTTTAAATTACATCAAATAAAATCATATTTCACAAGATACTAATGATACTATTTTTATCTGAAAGAATTCGGTGAAAGTGTTGATCTTCATGATCTAGCTGTTGTTGACATATCTATGAATGTTCTTAGCAGGTATTTAAACTGAATTTTTTTTTGAAAATGTCATGGAGAAAATAGAGAAGAAGAGAGCGCAAAATCACAGAGTGATAGTGTATTTGAATTATTTTATTGCAATTGAAGTAGAATCGTGTAAGAGCTCAGTCGATTTTACAAAAAAAACATGATGTCAATCTATGAAGTAGCTCTTCAAATCAGATTTTGGAGTCCAATTATTTTATTTTCAATTGGAGTTCCAGCAGCATTACTCAATGCAATAATATTTGTTAGCATAAAAACATTTCGTCGATCTTCATCGACTTATTATATTGTGGGGCAATCATTATCCGATGTGAATGTCTTATTGATTCTGCTTCTTCAAGTAATTCCATCTACGTCATCATCAGTTTCATCCATTGCTTGTAAGTTAATATTGTTTTTTCTTCAACTGACAGTTTCTGTTGCGATGAGTTTTCTTTGTTTGTCTGCATTTGATCGTTGGGCATGTACATCTCAATCGGCTCGAATACGTCAATTGAGTTCGATTCGCGTAGCTCAACGTGTCTTTCCTATTCCGTTTATTCTTTGGTCACTTGTGAATATTCCTTTTCTGGTGTATTGTGATCTTGTACCACCAATATTTTCATGTTGGTTCACGAATGATCTCTTTATGCGAATAGGAATCCTTGTTTTATCTCAAATTCTCACTGTTCTTCTTCCTTTGATTATTCTTATACTGTTTGGACTGTTGACATATCGTAACATTCGTCTTGTAATCCATGTTCGTCAACAACCAAATCAAAGTCGTCAATCAAACTGGGAACAACAAATGACAAGAATGATGTTAATTCAAACTCTTCTAAGTATCTTTTGCACAATTCCTCGAGCCGTTTTCGTCGTTTATACGATCTTTACAATCGATGAGAGTGTAACGAGAAACTTCGATCAATTGTCCATTATATTTCTCGTCGATAGCCTTACTATCTCTATTATTTCTTTGAATTTCGCTTCATCTTTTTACATATTCCTTCTTTCATCACCACGTTTACGACAAATGATTCAGATGCATTTAAAATGTCTATTTAATCGGCGAAATAATCAAGTGGGTTCAACAAATATATTACTTACAATACCAACACTTAGTGCTCGTCGAACTACAAGAGTTACTGTTCGACCGACAGTTGAAAATAAACCATTTTGACGATCATCTATAGCAACAATTACTATTCAAGAAACTTTTCTTTTTGAAAACTTTCATCTCTTTAAATTCTAAATAAAATTTTCTCAAACATAAAATTACATTTTATTTTACATGATGTCAAAATCTTTATTTAATTTAAATAAAATGACATAAAAGAATCATTTTCCTACATCGTTGTGTTCTGATTGTTCAAGCCAGAAGATGATGAATGAAAACGACATTATTGTTTTGATCACTATGTAGAATGAGTTTCCTGCACAAGACATAAAATAAGATTGAAGAACATGCTAACAATATATCATTAGTACTTTTTTTCTTTTCTGATTTTATGAGTGCTCGACATTTTGATGATTAAATAATCAATTTTAAGAACAATTATCAATAGTAAAATAGAATTGATGTTAGTAGAATGCAAAAGAAAAATATTTTTGACATTAAGAATGACTCTTGAAAATATTTATAAACCATTGTCGATAGTAACATTTCGAACCACTATGAAGAGACATTGGGGAAATGATATTGACCAGTGTTCATTCGCTTTTTAAGGTCATATGCGTCATTGCTAATGAATTGTAAGAATTCCTGAATTATCGGCCTTAGACAAACCTAATTTTTTTTGGAGTGGGTGTCCACTTCAACCACACTTCCTAGTTCTTTCTTTTAGGGTAAAATAATACAACTTGATACATTTGATTGTCAATAGCCTGGGTGCGTACAACAAAGAAGAAATGGTGTTATATTTTATACTGTTTAGATAATTAAAACGAACATTCACTAAACTATTCGACAATAGTTCATTGTATAAAGCTTTTGTTTTCTACGAATGATTTTTATCATAGCAACTAGAAGACTGTGGGTGATTTGTTAATCCGCACCGACAACTCACCCATTCATACCCACATCCAAAATATCTGTTAAAAATATTTCTTCCATTGTCATAGAATAAAAGAAATAAATTAAGAAATCACCTTATTTAATGGAAAAGATCCTTCAAAGTCCGAAGTTTTTAAATGTAGAATTTCATCGAGTATAATTCGTAGTCAATTCAAAATAAGATGGATGAACCTTAATATGTCTACGAAAACTATTCTTCTGAATCACTTAGAGGATATATGTGTTTTTTAATTCTGATAGTCTTATGTTTCAAACTACACTTTCAAATACAACGTACCCAACCAACCATTCGATAGGTATTTCGACGCGTCGATTTTGGCTTCCGTTGGGCATCGAAATTTCAAATCGACCCCTGGAAGTGCCATTTTCGGATGGGTCGAGGGCTCGGCGATAGGTTGTTTTTATTAGCAATTTTCAACCCCTCGAATAATCGTTTCCGATGGGTCGGAATTTCATCGAAAAAATGAATTTTTATCCGATAAATGTCTCAATTTCGAGTTGTCCAGACCCATCGAATATAAATTTCGAGTCGTCGAAACCTATCGAACATAAGCGGAGAAGTAGATTTGAACATGGGTACTTACGATTCACGTTCGTCGAACAGTTGAGCCAAATATGAACTATTATTCGTATATCAAAACGACCTTTTTAATTCATAAGAAGATAGAACTTCTTGTTTTTCATGCTTTTTTATTTTATTTTTTGAAAACTGAAAATAATACTTTTTGTCCGGAGAGAAAATTTTCTTTTAAACACTAGAAATAATATTTTTCATCCAGAAAAAAGATTATTTTTTGAACACTAAAAATTATATTTTTTATTGAGAAAAATTTCTTTATCATGAAGAAAATTTCATCAAAAAAGAAAATTTTTTATATTCCAGTAAGTGACACAAGAACTTCTTTTTATTTAAGATTCCGTATAAATTACTTATGGAATAAATATGACGTGCAATATGGGATAATCGATCAATTTGCACGTGGAAGTATGAAGTCAATATTTAGTAATTTTTTTAAAATTCACAACATGGACATTGATTATTGCTATTTTAGTCAAAAAAGCAGGCGAATTTTAGCTTTAGTTTCAATCGGCGGACGATCAATTTTGATCAGAAAATTCTGAAATTAAGGTGAATTATGAAGCAAATTCGAATAATTCTACTAAAATTATTGAATAAAAATAAAGAATATTTTAAAATAGGATTTTGAAGTTTCACCTGATCAAGATTACAGACTCCTCCATCAAAGTTGTTATTATGATCGGTTTTACTCTTTTGAAGCACTCAAAATGATCCTTTCAATATTTTTGTTTTAGTAGAGTGATTAAAATGTGTTAGAGGCATCGGTAGTATTATTTCGATGGGTGACTTCTCTCGGAGTACTCGAAACTTCGATGAGTGCCGAGGTGTCGAAATATATACGATGAGTCGAAAATGAGTCGTCGATAGGACACAGTGTCCGAGTCCTCGAAATTCGATGGGTGTCGAGGGGATCGAAATTGAAACAGAACGAACAAAATATATATATATCAAATTTTCGACCGCTCGTCGCACCCATCGTATGCTTTTTTTTGTTTGCTTGGGTAGTGATTGCTTAAGAAAAATCCATAATATAAGATTATTTCTTCTTTAACAACAATAGAATTATTTTGATTTTGTATTAAAACAATAACTTCATTGAATAAATATCATTCTTTTTATTTTTTCTGACAATTTCAGGTATTCACTTCAGAAAATTCTTCATTTATAGTTATCGAGGATATGAGTGTAGATATTTCTTTTGTCTTCGTCTCACACCCACACCCTACTTATTGTAAATAGATGGACAACAGAATCTAAATCAACAGACTAAATATTCAAAGAGAACTATAGTATGATTAGGTACTTTCTAAAACTGACTTTAATGTCTTCAATTAAATTTTAACTCGACAAGGGGTGTGGGCGTAGGTATGAGTATTTCTGAAAGGATGACACACATCCAAATGAGAAGTGAAAAACGACAATGCAACATGTCTACCCACACTCAACGAAAAGAGCACAACAACAATGTGCATCTCAAACTCTCACTCAATTATTTCGACGAATCGGAATAGTTGACTTTCGGAACCAACCGGTGAACAGAACTGATTTTACTGACATCTGCAATTACAACCATACAGAACATAACTCTATCAAAGTATTAAAAAAAAATTTTCAACACAATTCCCGAGGGATTTTATGTGAAATACGAATGAAAATGCTTCATTTCTAAATGGAAGCGTGTTTTGCGTTCTATTGATCCCATTATCATCGATACTAACACACAAATATCTATGAAGGTTTTTCGTAGTCGTTATTTATTGCAACACTCATGTACAATCGTGTTCCATGAAATTCAGACTATCAGCTCTCTCTTCTTAAGATTCAGCTGAGACGATTTTTTTCTAGCTCTAGATGCAATTCTGATCAAAATCTGCCGTTCGTTATGGCGCAAGAATGCGTCTTACACTACAGCGAGTGTAATTTTGACGGCAAGTTCAGGAAGATTTTGCAATGCGCCACTATTCAAATTTTTTCGAACATGTGAAACAAATTTATCGATATTTGTCAACCATCAACGGACGTCCCGCTGTGTCTATGGATTTTTTTCTACAAATGTATATCGATCATGTTCATCTCTTTGCAATGCAAAGTCAACAAAATAATTTGTTGTCTCAAATGTCCTCTCATCAGTATTTTTAAGTCAGATCCGTCATTGTTGTCAATCTCACATTCAGAGAGAAAAATAACATACACTGAAATAATCATCAAAAACGTTTTTCGTAAACAATAGAACGAGGATCCATATATCAAAGAGACGATTTTTTTCTGATGTTCTGTTTTTTCATCTCTTGAATTCTTTTCTTAAATATGAAATTATCAAGAGACAATAAAAACTGTTCTTGACGATCACAAACAAACAAATAAAACAATTGGAAATTAATTTATTCAATAAAAAATTGTCGAAAAGGAAAACAAATGTTCAATGAGCGAAGAATTGAGCAAGAAGTTGAGTAACGATGAGAACGACAATGCTCGATAAAATAGTTGATGGAGCTCGACAAGCAGGAAGGGCTGTTCCCGGATTCTGATTGCATTCGGCCGGATGTCGACTACGACATAACTGTTGACATTCCCATCCTCCGGCTAACCAACATCGATCGACATAATGAACAACATTCGGAAGAAGTTGTGGTTTACAGTATTTTCCCACACAACATCGACAACGGCATTCGTCTCCATTGATGATCACAATAGAGATGATTAAAATCAGTACGAATATTATTTTGATCGACATGGCGTGATATGATACAACTAGTCAATACTCAAACATTATATACGATCTGTTCTGCTCTCTTCACGTTATCGGATCATCTTTCAAAAACAATATCAACAGATCAAATGACTCACTTCATCTGCTCTTGTAGATCTACAGTTGCTGTTATAATCAAATTACTTGTCTCATCAAAAAATCATTCAATTGTTAAGATCGACAAGAAAAACCGATTTCGCAACAACACAGAATCAATTTTTTTGTCGTAATCATGCAAACACCAGAGTAGAACACTCTCTGAGAGACGAGATCATTTTCCAATTTTAAATATATGCAAGTCGATAAATCACTTGCTTCAATGTTTTCTTGTGTTTAAGCGAATTTGAATTGAAAATTGTGCTTGAGTGACTACTTTTCCTTTGATTTTGTGCCAAGTTGTTTTTTAAGCCTTCAGAAAACGGAGATGCGATAATTCCTGAATCTAATGCTATCTCGATGTGATTGAGAAGCGCAATAATCAGACTTGCGTCATTGGTCACTTCAGTGAATTGATAAGATAAAAGATTCGGACTCCATAGAAGAACTCAAATAGAATAGAAAACTAACGATTGAATCAATAGAGTTCGATGCAATATGAATTCCTTTGGTCGATCTTACATGTTGAAGAGAAATAAATAAATAAATCAAATGTAAAACTACAGAAATTATCTAGACAACAATCAGATTGAATAATTAAACTACTATCGATAAATATCGAATATCACATGATCCATCTAGTTTTCGGCGCACTAGAGTCCAATTGAGGACAAATTTAAT